ATTCATGTGTGACAATGAAGACGTGCAAAAGCCGTGAGACAACTATAGACGCTGCTCACAAATCCCCCAATTCCAGGACCAGGCCCCACTGGTGCTATGCTTTGTGCTACCAAGCACGAGTCTATCGTTGATATGTAAGCCTCATTTGGGGATTGGCCGTCTGCTGTCCACTGTGGGCGGTGGCTGTTCGTTCGCTCTCTTCTGTGGGGGTGGTCGCTGTTTGTTTTCTCTCTTCGAAAATCCACACCCTTCCCCAAGTTGTCTTCCAACATGTCTGCCCAGCCGTTCGAGCACAAGTTTCTTTTCCCTTGTCTTCCAACATGTCTGCCCAGCCCTTCGAGCACAAGTTTTTTTTCCCTTCTTCTTTTTCTTTCGATTGAAACAGGTCCTTACGGTCCTGGCTCCGGATCCATTTCGGGAAGCGTCAGTACAATTAACTGTCGCAAAAATCCAACCTTCACACACTCGCACTAGGTCGAAAGACCCTGATCAGCATTGAACTTCGACTTCGCTGATCTCTTTGGTCCCACCCAAACCTTTTCTCTTGCATTCCTTGTATCGAACACACGTAAATAACATTCCAGCAGAGGCTGTACTCGAACGGCTGTTCAGGGCAGCAGACATTTTTACAACCCCACGTTGTCCCACCTACTCCAAATAGTACAGCTCACCCCACACAGAACCACCCAACCCACATCAAACCACACAGCCCACATACTATTACCCAGACCATATATAGTATCCGCCACCCCACATGGTACAACCCGCCGCACTCTACCACCCAGTGCGCAGAGCACCCCTCTCTGAGTGTACACATGGCACGGCCCACCACACATAATTAAGCCTCCATAATAAAATACACAGCCCTGAGCCCAACTACCACCCAGCCCACACAACACCACCCAGAACACTTACCAACCAGCCCACATAGTATCACCACAGCTCGTGCCAGCATGCACAAGGGCTGCCAACCAGTTCAGGAGTGGCTCAGAGGAGAGGAGACCTGCTGGAGCCAAACCAAAAAAAAAAAAAAAAAAAAAAAGTAGACAGTGGAGTCCACTGTCGGATCCTGGATCACAGGAGTACGAGCCCAGTTCGAAACAAAAACCTGGCTGTTACACTTGGAAGCTGAAGTTTGGAAACTCCTACCGTCTTCACCCGAATAGAACGCCCGGTCATTATAGCCGTATGTGGTGCAACTTTCAGTCCAGGTACGGCGATAATTACTGGGTGTTCGATTCGGGTGAAGATGCTAGGCCACGCCAATGAAAGGGTAGACTCGGAACAGCTCGTGGACAGTGGTGATTTAATCTGTCAAATTTCAACGGACTCAAAAGGAAAAGCGAATTGGAATCGATCGCTGGAGTAAAAGGATTTGAACCTTTGTATTCCGGTGTCAAAAACACCGGTGCCTTTCCACTTGGCAATACCCCATTCGGCGATATAACCCTCGGGCTATATTTTTCCATTCCAATGGCCTCTTATAATCTGTTGGCTTGAAATTTGTGTGTTCCTTTCTGAGATGGTGAGGAAGCTGAGAAATGAAATGGTTTGCCAAATGGACCCCAAAAAACAATAAGAACACTGAAAAAAACTCAATTTGCCATTGAAATTACTTTTTTTTCACGTATATGGGAGAACAGAAGGCGGTTGAAAGAACGTGAAAGATGATGAAAGATTTGAGAGAAGAATATAGCGTAGTTTTTCCCAAAAAAAAAAAAAAAAAAAAAAAGGTGGTTCACATATCCAGCGGCCAAGCTCAGTTAGGTAGGGCACACAAGTGGCATT